TTATATAATCCACAACCATCTTCCCCAGACTGTGGTCTTGTAGTAATCTTACCCTGTGAGTGATTTCTGACAGATTTCAAGCTGTTCTAGTAAATGTGGTAGTAACTGTCCCATGATTTCATCTCCAATGCAGCACTGAACAACATTAGGCGTTTCATGAGCTCGGGTCATGATCTTCACCCAGGATTTATCAATGTTAGAGAAACGCTTTGCTTCCTGTTGAAACGTGATAATGAATGTGGAAGGGAAGAAATGGAGGAAGAAAGAGAGAAGAGGGAAAAGGCACTTGCTTGAAGAATTGGAACACAGTAATTTCACCAGTAATCTTCTCACTAGTAATCCTGTGTCCAGTTTAAGATTTTTCACAAATCTGCTTACAGAACACAGCTTGACTGTCAAGCCTGCTATCTACTTTCTCTTTCAAACATTCTTACAGGAAAAGACAGAAAATTCATTATGCCGGTACTGAACACTTAAAATTTGAAGATTTGTTTCCAAAATAGTTAAAGTTAATTTTTAATTTGAAAAGCTATGTAGTAAAGTTTATAATTGGGATTCCTAGGTACTACAAGGTTAGTCTAATTAGGTAGGTACTACTAGGGTAGTCTAATTAGGCTGGGCTACTTCTAGGTACAACACTTAAACATATATTTGTTAACAATTTTGCAATCTAGAAATAGAAAGATCAACCAGCTCACACAATTTTATTGTTCTTTCTAACACAGTACTCCTGTCACCATTGTTGACCTAAGTTTTATTGAGTACAAAAAAAAAGAAATTTATGTTACTGCACCAATTATGACATCAGAGCTCTATTTTATTTTTTAAATGTAGAAAAGCAAACTGAAAAAATGTCTGAAAACCTTTGGAAGCTGCTTTGCTATGTCACCGCCAACAAAAACAGCTTCTAAATAAATCCACAAATTCTGCACAGTCATCCAGTTCTCAATGATGTCAGTTGTGTTGGAAAGATAGTGCACCCATTTCTGAATCTGTGCCTTGAAGGGTGTGTTGTATCTAAAAAAAAAAAAGATGCTTTATTTCAAGAAGGAAACAAATCTTTTGAAGACAGCACATTACTCATAAGGATGAGGCATAATTATGCTGCTTCTATCTTTGTCAAGGGAAAATATAAAAATCTATTCTTGACTCAATTCAGCTAGTTTGCAACCAAATCAGCTCCAACTTGTTTTGTACACATGGTACATAGCACAGCTCTGATCCAACAGAAGCTGAATTGCAGCAAGACTTCAAATTCACTCTAAGGTAAAGAGGTTTCAAAAAGGGGGTATGCAACACCTTGAAAGCTGCAAGACTCCCAGAGGTCTTTATCAACTGAACTCTTGCTTTTGAACATCTGCCTGATGATCAGGTTCTGTGTTCCCTATTTTATCTCCAGACTTGGGCATGTGAAACCAGATAAACTGAAACTCATTTTAACTGGGATAATCGGCACCTTTGGCAAAAGACAGTGACCTTTCCCAGTGGGAGAGCAGCAGTGCCCTGTAATGCCCGTAGTACGCCTTCCACGAGCAGGCGGAGTTCCCCTTTTTGTTTGTCACCACTTTCTTGCACCAATGAAAACTGTCCAGTTGATTATTCAGGGAGTCTGAACTGCATCCACATGCTTTCAAAAGAACTTATTGGAGGGGTACAGACAGTAAGAACAAGCCCATAAACAGTTCAATGACAAGCAAGCTCTTAGTTTTTATCTAGATGTTGATTTTTCTTCTTCTCTCGGAAAGACAGATTTGTTCAATAACACAAAGCCTCTTGCTGATATTTTTATCGATACCCCTGCCTTTTCCTCTTACCTGTTATTCATGAGAGAGCCAAGAATCATCAAGCTGTCCTCCATAGTAGCAATTGTTTCTGATGTGCTGTCACCTCTTAAAAGAAGTTCCCCACGGGTTTTGAAGTTTGTGAAGACAAATGTTTTGTTGTCCCATTCAGCTATCACTTGTTTCAACTTCTGCTCAATGTCTCTCTCCTTCACAGCACTTATGCAAATATCCTTTTAAATAAACAGGATGTTAAAACAAGCAATGAATGGTTCGAGTTGCTGGTATAAAAACCTAACTCATATTTCCTTTAATCCTAGTAAGCCTGATGAGCAACTATTTATCAGGTGGAAACCTCTACAGACATACAAACACCATAACTAATAATCTATACACCGCATCATGCTGTGGCCAGCTTTGGGGGGAATAAAAGAAGGCAGCGATTACTTTTAATACACTTTCCATTACATTTCACATGTTGCAAAGCAAGGCACCCTTAGAAATTAACTCCTGGGCCAAGCTGCATGAGTTGGAAAAATTAACTGACATCACAATATAACAGTGTCATTATTTTATACCAAAAGCTGAAGTGCTAGTCCACTTCTCTGTTCTTCCTTTAGAAATACTGTTTTCCTTCTTACTACTGCCATTCCTATACTTTTTGAGCAGATGGTTTTGTTTCATGTATCCATTTCTCTTCCTTCACAATACCTCTATTTCCTCTTTATATTTTAATAGTGGAGCTTCCATTATATTCCTCAGTTTGAATGTTTCACTTTCCACATCAAAGCTGTGTTCAGTGAGATCTGTAATGCGCTTCCAGTGCCGAGGCATCATTGCTTTGCTCAGCATACGCTCAAGCAATGGGCAACATTCACTGAAGTCCTCAATGGTCTTCTTTAGGTCAAAAAAGGCCTGCCACTCCTTTACACCACGAGGAAGCTTACAGCATCTACATGGAAATAATGCAACTCTTCAAACAGTTTCTTTCTGTTACCCGTTTAACCACAATATATGGTTTTAACAGCAGACCACATAACTTCCAAATTCAGTTTACCTGCATTTTGAAGATTCTGTATGTGAGAAAATCTGTTTCCAGTCTATTTCACTACCTGATAGCTGAGCAGGCTCCCCTGAAGGAGTGTAGCTGCAAAATTCTCATACACTTTGTCCACGCGATGTTCAAAAACAACTGAACATCTTTACACCTTAATTTCATCTTTTGGTGAGGTTCATGATACATACTGCTCTGTGCTCTAGGAAAAAAACCCTGTTCCTCAGAGTCTGAAGATTTACATTTGATTCCTGGTTTCATGAAAAGTTCAGCTTCTGTGCATGCACTAAGTCTCATTTTGTAAGAAAACTATTATTCACTTACTTGCCTTAGACATCTAAGGTGACTCTATCTCTCGAGAGTAACAATACTACAATAAACAAATGAAATTTCCCTTCTTGAGAAAAATAAATAGCAACTTTAACATATATTCCAATGTCATTTAAAAAAAAAGTTAACCAGGAAGCTCTCTAAGGAACGATAATCCTCAGCATTTAGAGAATCAGTCTAAACCATCTCTCTTATTTTATGAAGTTGATAACAGATATATTTTTCAATTAAAACTCACATTTTTCATGTTTTAATGAACAAATACATGCTCAGATATTATTATTGATGTTAATTATAATGATATGTAAGAAGAAAAGTATTTTAAGTATCTTTAACACAGCAGAATTTTCTTACCTGTTCTGAAACTCTAGAAGTTCATTGTTAATTTTTCCAATGTCTAATTCTGACCAAAGAATATCATAGTAGCCACTGACTGTGTGAATGACATTGTTATATAGGTTATAGAGTTTCTGTAACAGATTCAGTTGCTTCTTTATTTCAAGCAGCTGAGGATACTGAGTAACAGGCAAACCAAAAAGAACTTCCCCACCAGTACAGGTAATATATTTCCGGAAAAGGTTATCAAATCGAGTCTGAGAAAGAAAAATAAAAAGATAATATTAAGAAAGATCAAATAACAAAACATCCAAGATCTGGCATTATGCTTAGAGTTGCTTTAGCAATTTAATTCTAGTAACTACTAGAAAGATACACGAGAAGTACTAACAACTGACACTGTCATCAGTTTCGTCAGCAATTTTCATGAGAAAAGTAACTTCTAGTTAGCTGGGGGTCACATCTTTGGACAGGGAGGCCATTGACTCTACGTGGTACAGCCATAAAACAGTAAATGTGAATCTTGCACTTGAAAGAGTTAGAGCATGATGTCCAAAGCAAAGAAAGGTGGATGTAGCAAATTCTACCCCTCCAAGTATGCTGTGCAATTCTTTAATGGAAGTGTTAAAGTAAGAATTACAGCTTTTTAAGCAGCAATGACAGACAAAATTTCATTGCCGGTTGCAATATAGCTGAGAGAGGATAGTAGGAAGCCAAATGAATAGCATTATAGGAAAGAAAAACCTGTAGAAATCATTAAAAGGATAGAAATTAATTATGGCACAAAGAAATATTTCAATAGGAAAAATCAGTCAGTTTAAACAGTCCTTTAATACTATCAAAAAAAATTTTAAAAACAAAAAAAAAGGAGGAGGGGGAGAAGATTGGACAGAATTATATTTCTGAGAAAAAGACACAGTAATGAACACAAGAACAGCCTATAACTAAATACAAACTTTAGAGCAGGCTCTCATCAGGATACTTGAATCTAGTAATTATTACTCATTATCTATGCAGCCTCTCTCTTAGCTTCAAAAAAAAAATAAAAACTGATTTTAAGCAGTATTCCTTGAAAATCCACAGAAATTATAACAAATTAGCTTTCAGTAAGTTAAAATAGACTTTGCCCAATCAGTAACCCTATGTATCAACGAAAATTAGTTCAAATACTCTGCTTCATTCTCAAAGCCTTCTGGTGTTAGTCTACCTGCAATAGTATTAAGCAATGTCTCAGAATTAACAGTACCTGAAACATAGTAAGCCTGTCACTGGCTTCCTGAGGCTCTAAACCAACCACCATTGGCCCATTCTGAAAAAAAAAAAAAGTAATACAAAAAAATTAAATAGTGAATTATGAGAGTTAAAATAGCCACAACTTATTTCTAATCACCATTTTCTAAATGCTAAACTCAAGCATTTTTGCAGCTGCAGGATTCCATTCCTACATCAGATAACTGAGCCAAGAGATCACAGTTACCCACTAGAACAAGCACTTCATATATTTCATTTAAAGAACAAAGAAGTCAATTAGTTGTCTTTTTAAGACAGAATTTTTCATAATAGTGTAAAAGCTAGGCAATCGTAGCTCCTTTTTCAATTAAAAATCAGCATTTCTTTGAAGATTATACAAGATTGGTTCAGCTTGACTCATTTTTATTCTGCTGAGAAAGAATATAGGAACTTAAGTCATTTCTACTTATATCCAATGTCAAAAAACATTTCTTACATTCTAATGATTTCTAATTAATCCAAATCCTCACATTTGCTCATGCTAACTAGCTGTTTATCATGAACCCTGAATGTCTCAAGTCTTAATCTTTATGAGATGATTACCAGCATTACATCCTTTAGTCATATATGAAAATTAACCAAACCTTGCCCTTCACTGAAACTCACATACCACATTAATAAGAATAAATTTATTCTTCAGACAGTAAAAGTATATTAATTAGTCAACCCCACAATCTTTCTGTGCTCCTTCTGTTCCTCAAAACTTCCGCTACTGTAATGACACTGGAAACACTTGCCTGATTGTAATCTTTATAGAACTGTGCACAATCTTCAGTAAAACTCTTCACAGTGCTCACAAGCTCTTCTCTGAAGTTTGGCTGCAAAGCAATGAGCTCATCCTGCACTTCATTCGCACGGGCTAGCAGTTTTTCCCAAGTGTAGTGCAAAGTGTCCACCTTCTCTGTCTCTTCCTTGGCTACAAGCAGATCATATTTGTTTAACATAGCATAGGATTCCTGTTCAGAAGGTTGAATCAAGACACACAAAATGGTGAGTGAAGTTAATTTTAAACACATATACATAGGCTAACATTTCAAATTTATAAGAAAAGAGAACAATTTCTTAGAAAAATATGTTCTTTTTTGCATAAGAATTACTACAGCACAGCAAGCGAATACCAGGCTGGAAGAAATATCAAAGTGAAAAAATAGCTAGTTATCCTTAACTCCTTACCTTTCACATAGCATTCTGCTTTCTGATAGATTATTTGCCCTAATGAAATCTGCCTCTCTAAAAATTATTTCTGGTTGAAGTACTGCAGCAGTCTACAGGTTTCAATTTCATTTTAATGAGAATATTTTTCTGATCCATGTCTTCAATTATCTGCTATCGCCCAAAGCCCCTACATTTTCAGATGCTCAATTAATTTATTCTAGTAAGTCAACTCCTCTAAGGAATTCAATTGTTTATGTTTATTTCAAGCCATGACACAGTGGGTAAAGCAATCACTCTCACACATTCTCATATAACCTGCCTAACATGAGCTTTCTTCTCTTCCGTAGTTTAAGCTAAAGAAAAATAAAAAGGGGAAAATCAATGTTTTTCATATGCAGACGTCTTCCACAAAGTAGCAAAAGCTTTCTTGCATTAAATATCTGTATTCTCATCCTCCTCTTACCTAAATCACTCAATTTCTGCACTATTGACTAAACCAGCTCTCAACTCAGCAAGTTTATATTTGTCCAAAATGGAGTTCTGTGCAAAAAAGGTTTATAAGAACACCCAATATTTAAGCACATATTAAATCATACCTCTTCAAAGTGCACAGTTAAGCTTTAACCCAGAAAATAATTGCTCTTTAGAGACAGTACCCAGACACCCAACATTTCTGTTAACTACCTCAATGGGTCCAACTTGAGAGTCTATGGAGATCTGTAGCTCTCTGATCTCTTTCAAAGCTGACATGGCTCTTCTTATATCATCCAGGTCCTTGATAGGGCGATTGAGCTTCTTGCCAGTTTCCTCTATGAAAGTGAAAATTGCTTCCATCTCCGTTTGGTACTTCTTATTACAATGATACCCCAACAAAGTCACCCAGGCTTTGGTTTCTGCTCTCAGTGCTAGTTTCAGATCAGCTAAAAATATTGAAGAAAGAACAGATATTTAGATATTGTACGTATTTTTTAGGATGGATTTTTAATCTTTTTTTCAGTATGTGTTCTCTTCACTCCCCATTCTGGTTTTTCAGTCTAACCATCCATGTACAGAGAAGATGAAATCACACTGACACCTTAAAGTGGTTTATAGAATTGCTTGTAATTCAGGTTTGCTTTCCTCCTAATCTTCTCAAAATATATAATGAGGCTGGACTTCATACTTGTCATCTTGTTCATATATCATTATACACATTTCTGTCCTACACATCACTAACAAATTGGTTAATATCACCATCCAAGTCTAAAATATTTTCAAATAGTAATCTTCAAAAAAAAAATAAAATGGGGAAAAGTACAAGTCTGATTACGGAAGCTGAAGAATCAGAAAAAGCAGATAGCTTTATCTGACATTTAATGAAACCAATGGTCCATCAACCATTTAATATTTATAAGCTTTATTTACACCATCAGTGGAACCAAGTGACAAACATGTAGAGAGAAAACAGAAGTCTCACTTAGCTGCTGCCCAGTTTTGCAACAATCCAGTCCACTTGTCCAAAGCTCTGCCATTACATTAAAATTTCTTCCTCAGGTTTCTCAACAGAAGAGTCAAAAATCAATACCAACACAGGCATCACATAAAATCCTAGCCAGATATAACTTCAACCCTGTTACCTATTCATTCTCTGTGCAGATTTCACTTGTGCATTTTCTCCTTCACACATGGCCTCTTCCCATGTTCAGCTCTCATACCTGATGGCCTTTTGATTTATTAAATATCAGAACTATCTCACCTAAACTGAGATTCAACAGACAGTTTGGTTCTCTAGGTTTTTTTTTCTCCTTATAATATAATCAAAGACATTTTGCTGACACCCTTTCTTAATGGAGAAAGCACGCTCCTTTCTCAGAGTTGACATGCACTGTAAAATCAGTTTCATGCATTTCTTACAGTCCACTGTACTTCACAACTGTCCTTTCTTTTACACTGGTATAAAATGCTTATGCAAAAACTATTTAGGTGATGTGGAAACTGAGCTACAAAAAAAGTAAAGATTTCATCCACCCAAAACTAAGCACCATCTGTCTCCTACATGAGTCAGAAAGGATAGGTCTCTAGAGAGAAGTGGAAAGTTGAACTCTACCAGTGTACAGTGCAACAGCTCCCACGCGGATGTATTCAGGCTCAGAATTGATCTTCAGCTCCAACTCTTGGAAATGCAGAATTTCAGATTCAAAAGAGAGTAATGGGTTTCCCATCACTAATTTACCAATAGTTTCCTCCTTGTCCCTCTGCCATATATGGTGGTAACAACTAAAACTCTCCAAAGCTGCAAGAACTTCCTGAAACACATTAGAAGTTCAAAGACTCTCAGCATTATGCATATAGCATACATATAATTTCTTAGCATCTGCTCATCAGAATACATTTGAAACTCCATAGTGGAGTAGGTTGCACCATATTCCTAAACAGAAAGCTGCTGGTAAATTTATGCTAAACTAAGTTTCATTAGCAATCACAAGCCTTGCCAGGAACTGTATGTCAATCACATCCAGTTTGTCAAATCAGTCACAGTATTTTCCAACTAAGTGATTCTTCAGTCAATAAAATACAAGGAATCAGTGGGAAGTAACACAGAAACTACTCCTCTAAGACTGGGATGCAGTATTTGTCCTTCTCTATCACTTAATGGACTAGCAACTGAAACCTGAACTCTAGGGCCCAACATAACAACAGCAGTGACTCAATTAATTCTCAAATAATGAAGTTATGAGACTTTTTTTTTTTTTTTTACAGGTATGATGTTGGTGATGTTAACATTAAATTCTACACAAAATTCAGGTATCTTTGATTTGAGTATCTTTTAAGGAGAGTGCAGAAAAATTACTTTCCTGGTTCTCAGGAGCTCAGGAAGATGTCAGACAAAGTTACGTCACCATCACTTCAGCTAATTAAACAGGTAAATGAGACGTGACTGCTATGAGAGATAATCCACATTATGACTTAAAATAAACATAGTACTTGCAGGCTTTTAAACCTGGCTAAATGAGAAAAGTTTCCAATTACAAAATACTGAGTATCAAAATACCAAGATAACTCTACACCACTATCAGCTGCAATTTAGTCTTCAGTACAAGCCTGCATATCATTGTACTAGTTATGCTTCAACACCACTGAAGTTATAAGGCTTTGAGCCAAAAACTTCCACCTAGCAAGACTCCATTGTAGGGTTGGATGGCCCTAGGAGGAACTAATGCAGAGTTTCCCAAAGAAATACCAGTTCAATACCTATAGTTTACTAGAGAGTGAATAGAATAAGAAAAGGGCAAAGAAAATACGCATATCCCTTAAGCTATCTCCTAACTTCCAGTAGCAAATCCCACACAGCACTTTATAAATGCCAAGCTGACAGCCAGTTTTCTTCCAAAAACCTTCATGTACTTTTCATAACAGGCAGTCAGTTAGAGTTTCTATCCAAACAGAACTGTATTTAACACACTGGTACAATTACCACCAGCCCCATACTAAACACACGCAACTCAATTACATCTAGAGATTTTTTTAAATGACATTTTACCAATTGGAAATATGTTTTTTATCAAACCTGTTTTTCTTTATGTAATATTCAAAACCTCAAATTTCTGAGCAGAGTACACTTAACCCATGGTACACTTTCAAAGCATATTTGCAAATTTGCAGCCACAGGTTTTCCATTCACCACCCTATACTTTTTCATTCCTATGTTTAATTACTGCTTTAAATGTCTACTCTTATTGCCCAAGGATGTTAAAAGTAATACATTAATATCCCTTGGATAGTGATATTAAATTAATATCTTGATTGTCTTACCCTTTTTGTAGAATTAATAGCAGTGCTGAGTAAAGATACTAATTTAATAATTTCTTTGTTCTCCGAAACACTCTTGAAGTAGTTCTGACTTTGCACTGGATCAGACAAGCTGAGTGATGCTGCATCTGACACACTATCTATAAAGGCAGATTCAGATAAAAAGGCAGTTTTAAGACAGACATACTGTTTAGGCCAAGCAAATTCCTATAGACAAAAACTAATGTCCTTTTTTTCCAATAAACATGCATTTTAAATGTTCTTATTAATCAAAAAGGCAAGCAGAAGTCTAGGTGGACAATATAATTGGCACAAATTCATAAACTCCATTTTATAACACTTGTTTCATCTAACTACTCTTGTCAAATTTAGAATAAATTCCACTCCAAACTTTCAAATATAATCTTTCTTTTTCTCTCACCCCTCCCCAAGGTTTATCCTGTACAATTAACCTAAGTGGTTTATTGATATGTCAGCACCAAGCAAATCCATAAATATTTTTATTTGCTGAAATAAAGTGGATTAAACAACAACTGACAATTTAAAATACAAATTAACATTCAATCCAAAAAAATGACCATAGCCAGTCCTCAAAAGGAAAGGAAGATAAAAGGAAGGTCCATTAGTTAACAAATACCCTAAGACTGAACTCACTGTCATTTCTTATTTCATCTCAGGCAAAAGAAATTCTTAGTTTTAAAAGAACATTTTCTTTTCTTAACTAGTTCAAGTTTAACTTTCCTACTTTTTAGGTGTATATGAGGGAGCTAACCTAGAAAGACTAAATATATTTTTGAAACACCTGAAGTATAAAGTAGAAAATTAATTTGGCATTTCAGACAAGAAAAAAAATGAGTACTCAAAGATACCATCTTAAATTTTCTTGAATTAATGCCTTCAATAACTTAATTCCATGTCTAATCATAAAACTGATTAAGTTAAAATCCTTTTTGAAATTTATTCAATCGTCTACACAATCCTTTCTCCACCAATACTGCAACTTATATAGACACATCTAATTAATACCAGGTTTGACGTTCAGCTTACCCTTCTTAAAGGAATTTCAGCACAACTGTTAAGATGGCATTTGAACGTGCCAAGTTACAAACCACACTAGCAAATCATGAAAGATCTTTGTTGTGGTGATAGTGGCTATAATTGTTTTCCAAACTCATTCACAATTTCTACTATTCTGCCCAAGCTGGCACCCTAGCAGCTTTTCACATGTTGCAGATGTAACCCAAGGCAGTACAACTCTGAGAGGCACAAAAATAAATTCCCCTTACTCAAATCTGCACAAAGACAAGTATCTTCAGGCAAGCCTGGTTTCTAATCACAAAGAGAGGTTCTGGCATTATTATTATATCCTATTCATTCTCTGAGGTAGTCTAAAATCTATGAAGCCTGCATCCTGCCACTTTTGATGCCTTTTGTATTTAATATTCTTTAACACATGCTGTATAAATCACATCTACCTAACACGCAAATTGAGTCACATCAGAATTTATCATTACCATGAATGTTTTTCTTTCCAATCTCTTTTATTCCATCATCAGAATCATTGTCTCTGCTCTCACACCGCAACACAGCTGCTTTCCTTTCTAACATTTTCTTCTGGGGAAGAAATAAAATTTCATTTTCTATTTCCAGTAGTTTTGAAACATTAGTTTTAAGTAAGGGTGTTAAAAACACAAACCTTGGATATTCTCTCCTCACTCCACTGTCCAACTCCTTTCATTACTTTCACAATGCCGTCTACAGCTTTATTAAGTGTCTGCTGTACCTCATCCAAAGAGGGTGTCATGATGATGTTAGGGATAGATAGGTTAATATTAGTCCTAATTATAGGATGAGCACTCTTTTTCTGCTTAGAAGCATTGTGATTTTCTAAATGAAAGGGGGGGGAAAAAAAAAAAAAAAGAGTGGTTCACATGTTTTTCCAAGATGTTAGACTAGACATTGTAATGATATAAACCAATATATGTGTATATATATATCCCAGTGTGGAGTACTGAGAGTAATTTCTTAAGGGAAAAAAAGATTCCTGAGTAATTTACAAGATCTATTGGTAAAGTCTATAGCAACACAAGTGAAGCTAAGTGTCATGCTTTCTCTCTCCATGAAGCTCCTCTTAAAATTGTTCTGTGCAGCTAAACTCTGTCTAGCAGAAAATTTTGTTATCTGTCTTGTTCTCCCAGTCAACATACTAAACTGGGCACAAAGCCACCTTGGAATCTCATAATACCGTATGCCTTACATGCTATAGAGATATAGCATGTCTTGATTTTTGTTTCTTAAAAGTATGTAAGAAGAAAACATTTCAAAAGAGTGTTCCATCATAATGTATAGAAAGATCTGAGGGCAATTAGTCAGAAAAAGAGAATACACTTCTTTCTCTATTTTTTTTTTCATATAGTTTTATGTAAAAGCCAAGGTCAAACAGGTAACCACTTATCAACTCCAGCTCTAAATATCTGGCTTCAGAACAGTACAGTTGGTCCTAAGAGAATCATCATCATAATGACACAACCCTACTGTCACAGGAAAAAAAACCTCCTTTGTAAATACAACATATTATCAACTGTGGTTTAACAACACAGCTTTTTCAAACTCCCTTGTTTCCCCTCTTTTACATATGTGGCTCTTTTTTATATAGTTCTGGGATACTACATTTATATATTTCTTTTTATAGGCTAAGAAAGCACAGTACTGCAAAACTGCCACCTAAGAAGCTGATCAGGGAAGATGTGTGGATGCGCTTGCGTATGGTCTCCAGAGTGTTCCGAGTGACTTTCAAAAGGGCATCAACATTACACTGATTGAAGTAAGAAAGTAGTTCATTAGCTTCTTCCTCTAACACTTCTAAATCCATTCTCTTCCTCTTTGCTGGAGGAGATAGTCCAGCCCTTATCTCACTGGAATTGTGGGAGGAAGTCAAGCTTTTTGATCTTCTTTCCTCTTCTGTTGCTAAAAATCATAAATCTAGTTAGTTAAATTTACTTATGACACTTGAAAACACAATAAAGCAACACCTCCACAGGTGTCTGAAACACAGCTAAATTTTACAGAAGTGCAGATTATACTCATTTGTAACCTGTACCTCAATGTAACAGTCCTTTTACTCCAATTCACCTTCTCTACTCAGTACAAACTGATATGATTATCACCAAAATTTAGATATTACTTCTGTAATTCTCTCTCGAGGAAGTCCTACAATTAACTGAAGCCTCTAAGCAGCCACTTCTATGGCATTAACATTTAAATATGCAAGTTATACTGATAATACCGACCTATTTCGGAGATGATAGATGATTTTTTGATGATCTGTTATACAGGCAAATACAAACAAAAATCTTCAGATACTAGGTAGTGATTGACACTTGAGTCAGTTAAGCTGATTCCCAACACATCCCCCCAACACGTACTATTGGCATGCAAAAGAAACATAAGCACAGAGCTGCAATACCGTCTACTTACCTGTATTTTTCTCCCTTAATTCACCAGCGGGCACAACTGACTGTTCTTTTTGGACCTGTACCTCAGTGTCCAGTAACATGTTAATCAGCTCATTAGCTGCATCTTCCACCAGTGAGCTTTTTAAATGTAAAATCCGAGAACCTTTTATACAGAGCTCCTGTTATCAAACCAAAACAAACATATTTTCTTATCTTCCTGCTTCTCATGTCTACTTCATGGTCACAGCAGCCTTTAGCAACACAAATGTCAAGGCCTCAGATTGGTGGAAAACAAGATCAACACATGACATTCTTTTTAAATTGCTTTGTTCCAAACTATTTCCTGTTGGATTCTTTGTTGTGCCAAACAAGACATCCTAAATGCTTTCAAAATTGCAGAGTCTTGTTTCCTAAGTCACATGACTCATCCACAGTTAATATAAAGTATTAACATTTATAAAGCCTTTTTCTATTAAAGGGCTCCCAAAACCAAGTGCTTCTTAATTCCCTTAACTTTCCAATGTAGACATGGAAGATTTAATCTTTCTTTAAGTATTAGCCAATCTTATTCCCCATTTAAAGCTACATAGGAAACAGAAGTCTATCAAATGCTGTATTTATGATTAGAATAAACAAGAAAAGTATTAACTGGTGGAAGAAGGAATCGAAGAATGAGATTTAATAAAATCCAGAAATACATTAAAGTATTATGCAGCTTTTCCTTTAATGCTTATTATAAAACTGATCAAGTATGCTTTAGTTACTATAATTTTTAACTATACATGCCTTTTAATTTTTTTCTTCTTTGTTATCTCCTTTTACTTTAAGCTTAATCAAACTGGGCTACCTCCATTTAATTAAAAATCAGTAATTGGAAAAATTCAACCATTAGCAAAATTGAGTCGTTTCCAAATTTTAAGACACAATCTTTGATCTTCCTAATGATTTGGTCTACTTGAGAGAGAAGCCAGGTCTTATTTGCAGTATCACAGCAACTACTAAACACAGTACTCTGGTTTTTTTTTCCCACATCATAACCTTTTTTGCTGCAGTAATTTCATTGATAGAACTCAGTTTTAGTTCCTTTTAATTAAAAACTAAAATAAGCTTACAAACACTGTTGCTATTTTCATTGTACCTGTAACTGGGGTTAGTATATCACTTACTCTGCTAACTCAGATTGGCTGTTGTGGTGTAGCAATTCCTATGTAACAACTCAAGTTTCTTGCAGAAGGTCAACATTTAACAATATCAATTACCATACAGTGTTGAGAAGTTTTTTGTGCTCACTCTCACATATTTTCACTTTAGTGAATATAGGCTTAAATACCAGCCCTACCAAAAAAGCAGCAGCGGGATCAACACACAGCAGCTATGGATTGTGAGGCTTATAAAACATCATTCACTCCATAAAATATATTAAGTTTTACTTTGTATTTAATAACAAGGTGAGCTGTAACAAGGGGCAGAAGAGGAACGGCAAAAATTTAAGTGCACTAAGAGAAATCAAACTTTAATTTGTAGTATTTACAGCTACAAGAGGCCAGGGATAGGGATTATCTATGTGATCTTTTACCATCTTTTCCAAAGCAAAGCTTATTTCAGGAGAAAAAATGGTAGACATATCCTAAAATGCCAGAATATCTCACTATTGTCTCAGAAAAATTATTCTGACAATTTTTAACTAGCTTATACAGCTTTCTAACTGATTAACAACTTACATTTTTACAGTTAATCCTCCTCAACATAGGAGTATTTTGAGGAGGTGAAAGAAGGGCGTTTTCCCAGAATAGCTTCACACAAATACTTCTGAGCATATTTTGCACATCCCATCACCAACTCAGGAGAACTTGGGATGAACAAAGATATTCACCACACTATTGTTTCAATAGTATGTACTCTCTCCTGGCAAAGACTTGGCCTGTCTTGTTATGAAGCTATTCACAGGCTTTAGATAGGCAATTCCCTTATTTAAAGGTTCTAACAAGCAACTATGACAAAAAAAAGACACTCTTGCAGAACAAAAACATTTAAGTTGAGTGATATCAAAACATAAAAGAAATATCATACAGCAGTCGGCTTGACATCAATAAACTCAGAAAATAACATCTCCGCTCAGGACCAATTTGAATTTGGTATTTTTGTTCCTTTTTAAGGTTCCATCCAAACAAGTGAGCATTTCCTTACTTCATTTTCCCAAGTATGCCTCAGTAATTCTGCACTGGTTTTATTTCATAAGAAAGGGAAAATATCTTAATTCAAAGCCATTGAACTCTTCTTTACAAAATTTTTATCTAATAACCTTAGTCATCTGGAGAAATTCCTCACAGCTCAGTGGTTCATCTTCTGGCAACTTACAAAGTGGCACTCTATTCATTTCTTGAAGGACAGCATCAATACGAAATTCAATCAAGTCATTCACTCGATCAAGCAACAACTCCAGACCAGCTTTTGAAGAAAACAGAAGATTAAAGACAAGCTTAAAACTTTGAAACAATAGTCTTTGCAGAGTCCTGCTTAAGTTTTTACTTCAGCAAACTAGGATACTAAATTTTATATTCATTCTACACCTTAACCAGCTTACTTCAACCATGTAAACTTTTTGCCATCTTTTATGCCAAGATTCACCACTGAAATGATAATTAATTTTTTGCACAACATATGCTCACCTATCATATGTTATCCACATCCTAAAAGATAATAAGCAAAATATTAGATATATATGTAAGGTGAGCTTAAAGTATATGTATTTCAAACACACATACATTAAAATTCAATTGAGGTTCTGGAATATTTCTCCTATAGCTTGAACTAGTTACTGCTTGGCAAACCTACTAGTAACAAACTTTTGACAAATAAAATATTTATTCTTAAAAAAAAATGTTAGAAGCCAAATAACAGTTAACAGAAAACAATCACTAGAATTTTCACAGTTTAGTAGCAATTTTCTTTCAATGCAAAATTGAAATAGCAGCAAGGTTCCTGTTCCAGACTCAAACTAGTTGTATTATTCAAAATTAAATAAAGTCCAGTTAGCATCCAAAATGCATTTTAATTTGCGATTTCAACTAAAGAAAATTCCCACTATAGCTACTTATATGCTTTTGAAAAGCAAAATCTGTTTGATGTAGTAATTATGCTGAAGCAAAAGGAAGTTGTTATCTTCAGAAACAATTACACATCATATAATGTTGTGATAATCTTTTGCAAAGACTACAAGCTCATCTGTTTTCTAAAGCTCTTGTCCAAGTTTTGTGTTCATTAGTTTTAAAGAGAACGACGTTTAAGAAAAAGGTTAAAATGAAAAGCTATTGAGCAGTGACACTGCCAACTCATTCGAGATACTATCCCCTGAGAATTTGTTTTGCACATTATAGAAAAAACAAAGCAAGATGAAACCTAGGAGAACTTTTCAGAATGTAGATATCATTCTTTGAATTCAAAATACATAGGACCTTTTCCACACTGCTTCATGCTTGGCTTAATCCTTACTGACCATTGGGATCCCATCCCTATTAGTCAAAATTTGATAAATAAGTGAGACAAAAAGAAGGTACTATTATAAAGCAGAATTTCAATGAAGTACAGGACAGGTAAAAATTCTGATTTCTTTCACGTATAAGTCAGTTATAATAATCATACATAGGATAGTAAGCTCAATAATATAGCTTGCATTTATACAGAAGCAAAGCAGAAGTTGATGAAAGGAGGCAAGTGTCTTACCCAGCTTGTAAAAAACTGTATTGGTATATTTCTCAATATTCAAAGATGTCCAGGTCAGCAACACTAGACCTGGCTGGATAGCATCATCTACATCCGCTAACCAAGGAGCCATCAGTTGTTCAACAGGGGGCTGTATTTTCATTTTGATTCTTTTATATTCTGCCAGCATCACCTGAAATAAACAGAGAATGAAGCATTAGTTCATATACACTATTTTGAACTTCTTCACATGGACATATTTATCACAACTTGAATTAAGAAAATTCCTCTGGGGGGACATCACTGAAACTCTTAAGAAATGACAATTGTTTGAGAAATATTTCCATTATTTTTGGCTGAAATTCACTATTTTTTGTTCTTTACAATGATGCAATTATTACTTCACATGGAAATTCATCTTTGTAGGTTGTATTGGTTTTAGTTGGGATGAAGTTAATTTTTTTCATAGTGGCTCGTATGGTGCCACATTTTAGATTTGTGACCAAACCAACGTTTTGGCTGTTGCTGAGCACTGATCATACTGCAGTTAGGCTTTTTCTGCTTCTCACACCACCCCACCAGTAAGTAGGCCAGGGACACACAAGAAGCTGGGAGGGAACACAGCCAGGACAGCTGACCCCAGCTGCCCAAAGGGATATTTCATACCATATGACATCATGCTCAAAAATAAAAGCTAGAGGAGGAAGAAGGAAGTAGGACATTCAGAGCTCTGGTGTTTATCTTCCCAAGTAACCGTGATACAGCCCTCTTTCCTGGAGATGGCTAAACACCTGCCTGCTGATGGGAAGCAGTAAATTAATTCCTTATTTTGCTTTGCTTGGTTATGCAGCTTTTTGCTTTATCTACTAAAAAGTCTTTATCTCAGAGCACATGCTTTCTCTTTTAACCTTCACATTCTCTCCCTCATCCCACTGTGGGGAGTAAGCAACTGTCTGGGTGATGCTTAGCTGCCTAGCAGGGTGAATCCACAACACAGAAAAATATCAGACTCTAAATGAATGTTCCAGGAGACAAAAAGGCCCAAGGAAACAACGCATCTAAGCCAACTTTTCAGCAGCAGTATTAGACCAGCCTTATTAGAGCTTTAATACGGGGTTTGGTTTCTAATGCATTTTTAACCTCTTATCTAGCTTGATTTGGAAAAAAAAAAAAAAAAAAAAAATCTTTGCAACAACTTTATGACTTAATATGACTTTTTTTTTCATTTCAGCTATAGTTTTCTGGACACCTGTCTTTGAATCCTCATCTTGAGTCATTGAGAACCTTTGTTTGTAAGCAGACAAAATGATCCAAAGAATTTAGAAGATAGGAGAAAGGGAAGATTTAGCTTCTCTCTTTTCAACTATTCCACAGACAATCTGTGTAAAACACCGGTGGCAGGAAGTATGTGCTGCTACTTGCTGGATGCTTTACATTTTTGAAAGGCATGTAACCTGTTACTTCCTCCCAGCTATGATCTCAAAACAAAGTGCATTCAACATTGCCTCCACTAATGGATAAGATATAATTGCTTATCATTTAGAAAGCTACCAACAGAGCAAGTCATCTCGTAAACCTCCTTTCCTCCCCATCCTCATCTCTTTCCCAAGCTCTGCACAGCTTTTCTAAACCCATGCATCTTTAAACTGGCTTCACAGAAAATGCAAAGCCAAGGAATTAATTTTTAAAGTGCCTCCAAACAGTCATAAAGATAAAAAATACATTTTTCAATGTTCTCTTAATGCGTAATAGTTGATCTTCATTTTTTGTCTTTGTTATGTTTTGAACCTAGACATCTTAATGTACACTACATGTACATAAAATAACTACAATAAACCCACATGCAAATTGTTGACAATCTTCTTATACCAGTCTCTCTTCTGTTGAATAATACTTGCAGATGGCGGGATTTCAAGGCACATGTGAGCCATGCAATCTGTTTCTCTGATTAAAGTTAATATTTGAGAGTCAAAATTCACTAATAATTCTCCTGTTTCCGGAGCTTTTACCAAGAGAGATGCCTGAAGTCCTGTTCTAGTGAATTCAATCTGCAGGGAAACAAAGTCATCATTCCTGATCAGATAAACCAGTACAATGAAATACTTTGTTTTGCACATAAATAACACTTTGGTAGATACTAAGATTGGGTGTTGCTGATAATAAAGATTGATATGATATGAATCAACAGACTTTACTAACATAGTCTGTATGTATCCAAACACTTAACAGTCAAATTAACTGTTCTTTATCCAAGCAATATTTTTTCTGTTGATTCCTGGATATCATAATCTGCATTCCACAGTCCAACATCAAAATCAGAGCCATAGACTATCTTATTTCAACCCTCTTACATCTGAGCTCTCATTTCCTTAAAACTTATTGCACATTCTGCGATAAGGCTGCACACAACCTCCTTGATGAACTATATTATTCTTGGATAATTTATTAAAATATCTTTTGAATAAACTTAACATTATTTCTCCTTCTGCTTGTTTTCCACTACCTAAAATATATACCACACTTCAATCATAATGGAACTCCAAATTATATCTTATATCCTACAACCTCTGGGCAAATTTTTTAAAAGACTAAAATTAATGTTTATAATAATGGGGTTTTAATTGTTAAAAGGGAAGCCTAATCACACTACTGGTTTAACTGCCTTATTTGATTATTAGAATATCCATTTATTCTCTGTGTGATTAGAAGGGAAATTATCCACAAGACTGCCACACATGGAAAATCTGGCTGATATCAGGAAGAAATCATGCTTTAGGTAGGGAAATCTTTACTACATGAAAAACTTTGCTGATATTCTCATTTTCCAGTTGTCCTTTATTGACTTCTCATATTTCATGTATCACACTACATTGAGATGAGGCTTGGGTTTAAGCAACAGTTTCATAACCTCTTAGATTGCTTTTAGAGTACTTTTTATGCACCACACTGAAAATTTGCACCTCCTTTCAATGCCTAAAATATAGCTTGCTATACTGCTTGCTCCAGCTGTTATCATGTATTATTATGACATTTTACATAGCATTTTTAAAAAAATCATCTAATCAAAGTTTTGTCAGTGAAATTGTCATGCTTTGTCTACTAGCATCAAAGTCACTCAGCACAGCTGCCTTAAATAGGAACTGGTTTGGTTTTGTTTTTTCCTGCAAAGTTCACCAGCAAACCTTACCACACTCTTTGGACTTCAGATTCATTATTCCCATTATCAATCTCTTCCTCTCCCATTTATGGCTTTTTTTCATGCAATTTCATTATTAAGGTAACAGAAATACGGGGTATATTGAAGGCACAAATATTACACTGTCAAAGAACAATAGTAACTTTGACACTTCCTGGTACTTTATTATTTTAATATGTCCTAGTTGAATGTCATTGTCTATAGCACAAAAAAAAATAATGGCTTTAAATCTTACGCCACTTTAAAAAAGTGGATAAACAAGGTAGTAACCATCCAGCAACAAACAGGCAGAAGGTGGAAAAAGCATTCAGAAATATGAGAAAGTGTCACTAAGCTTAACTATTCCCACCATATAGAAGAATAAAAAGAAGTAGGAGCTACAGTCCTGTTTCTATTGCATTTGTATTCCCCACAGGACACTCATCCCTATCTCGTTTCCATTTTGTTCAGTAGAGCTGGAGCTCCACCTTGTGTTCTACGATACTCGTGTCCACACCCATACCCGCTCTTGCCTCCAGAAGACAGGAGGCTACTGAACAGTAGTCAGATGTTTTTGCCACATCTGGTACAGAAGTGCATTGATATTAAAGTGGATACACTTTTCATGTATGTTCAAGGTATGTGTGCTCGTTTCAGAAACTTGAAACTGTGTTCAAATCCTTCTCCCTTTGTTCCCACATAATGAATATAAGGTTGGAGCAGGTTCAGCAAGTTTATATAGCTACCACGTGCAATTTGACTCTGCTACAGGAGAAACCAGTACTTGTAGAACAGATCAGATCACTGGAACCTCACAAAGAAAGGTATCAGTTCAGGGCCTCGGATGTTACAGTCATTTTGTAAAAGATAAAAGGAGAACATACTTGACTGCTCTGTCAAAGCATGGTATATATCAGAAAACCTGGTCACTAGATCATCTGGCCAAAGGAGACTGATGTGGCCCCAAAAGAAGCACATATTATCCTAAGACTTCAGAGCTAAAACAGGGAACACGTTTTAAAAGTGCCCAGACAAGGCCACGGTAGCAGCAGCAAGTACTATTCAGTGAAAGCAACCATCAGCACACGCGGGACAATGCAAGGATCCAGCACACTACCAGCATCAAAACAGAAACTGAGTCCAAGCCAGAAACACTAAACAAATGTCAAAGGCTTCCTGAAGTATCACAGTTCCTCTTCCATAAAACACTAAGGATACACACACCATACCAGCTCTCTGTGAAGAGCACATGAAATCAAAAAACGGGCTCCTGAAGTTACCAGAATAAGCACTTGAATTCAAAGACAGAATTTCTAAAGTATAACAGTTGCAATTTTTACTACTGCCTGGGAGGAGAACAAACTTAGATTGATGTACCCGAAATTTCAACTACAATGAAAGAACAGCTGAGGAAATGCTACTCAGGTTCCTTGATTCCCAGCTGGTAGACAACACCAGATTAATCATCATTAAGATATATCCAGCACCAGAACTAAGGCAATCTGAATACAGCATATTGTATGACCTCTAATAACGTAGTCACTCCTGCTTTAGTATACTAAATTAACACAAACACTTCCACTTACAGTGTCAGACAATCAAACCTCATGATCCTTTAAACCTTCACAGCAAATGCAAGTGTGAAGGGGGAGAGTCAGGAACTCTTAATATATTCAGATGGGACAAGAGACAGAAGGAACCTCTGTTTTCAGGGCTGGTGACTAACTTTGAGAAGATTGATATTTATCACCATCAGAGATTTTCACACTGTACAGAAGTTGGGGCTGAGCTCCAAGAATAGGAGGCAGATGCACTGCTAATTGTACCACTGTCTTCAAAACAGTCATCTGGAGATTCTGATCCTTCTTTTTGAGATTTGAGAGGCTGAGGCAAATTTCCTTACAATGCGCTTTTTGACAAGGCAGCAAAGAAACAGGAGGTGGAAAATATGCCAATAGGATAATAGAAATATGCAGACATTTCAAGGCTATAAACTAGTCCCTGCAGAAGCCATCTGATAATATGAAAGCAGTCAGAGATTCTGTGTACAAAACCCAAGGGGGAAAAATCAGTCACATGAGGTTTAGAACTTAAGGTAAACCATGTTTTCTGATGAATATTCAGATGACAGTGTTCTGCCTTACCAAACAGTTGACAGGAAATTAAATAGCTCTGTACTGGGTCTCACTGGGATGGAGTTATTTTCTTCAGAGACACTTGTACAGTGCTGTGTTTCAGATTAGGAATCAAAACAATGCTGATAACACAGGAATGTTTTAGCTGTTGCTGAACAGCACTTGCACAGCATTGAAGTCTTCTCTCTTTCTCACTCTGCCCCCTGCAGTGAATAGACTTGGGGGAGCTGGGGGTGTACAAGAGGTTGGGATGGGACAAAAACAGGCACATGTCCCAAAATAGCAAAAGGGATGTTCCAAATAATGCCATATAACTTCATGCTCAGCAATAAAAAGGGAGAGGGAGAGGCTAAGGGGATTATCCATCTTTTGCCCTGAAACTGGCTGGACACTGGTCTACCTGTGGGAGGTGGTGAGTGATTCTTTGCATACCTTATTTTGCTTTCTTTCTCTCTTCCTCCACTTCTCCTTCACTTCCTAAATTTCTTAACTTGACCCACAAGTTTTCTTGCTTTTACTTTTCCTTTCCTCTTCTCTGCCTCACTGCAGGTGGGCAAAGGGAAGTGAGCAAGTGATCATGTGGTGCTTAGCTACCTACCAGGGTTAACCCACAACAGGCTCAAAACACACTTGTGCATGGAGTATGCTATTAATTCTACAGGATGTTCTATCTGTTGAGACTGGATGCTTTATACATGAACATTCACTCCGTGTGCCCACAGATTACGCTCAAAAACCAAATCCATATTGTCCAGACCAGAAGAAACCTCCTGCTCCTGCTTTTATGTTAAGATAATCAGCTGACCAAACTCCTCTCCCCACATACAATGTTCTTGCACCAGAGTCAGTAGCATTTAGGCAGAAACAGAGAGGCAGCTAAAGCTACCACCGAATCATTATATATTTCCATAACAAGTATTTTTCAGTACAATATCTTAGCTATAATGAAGGTACTTCACTTGTTCCTAAATTCAGCTACAGGCAGCACAGGCATTGTTTATTAACAGAAACACTTGCCAAGTATCTTTTCTTACTCCATCTAACTTTCCTTCTTACTCTCATCTTTCTTACTCCACCACCTGCTCTGTAAACCTAGGTGTTATTAGTCTACCAACAACAAAAACTCCACCACTTTTTAAAAAAAGAAATATCCTACTGAAAATCAGCCGTTTTACCTGCTGAAGCCATCCCCTGTGGTAGATCACCTCAAACTCCACAAGAACTTTTGCTACTTTGTTGTAGTTGTGGATTATGCGCTTGCCATCTGGTGTCTGGAGAAGAGCTGGGTGCTGCTGGAAAGACTCCATGGGCTCCTGGATCCTATGGAATAGGTGGCGAGCCCACAAGATCTTACCAGCTATTGGAGGCAGATTACGAGCCAGTGGAGGGTCCTGCTTCTGCCTAGTGTAGATCTTACAGACTGTTTCTATGTCATGGCCATAGTTTTGAAATATTTTCTGATACTTTTCATCAATGCCAAGATTCGGGATTTGTAACCTGCTTAGAAAAATAATAATCGTTAAAAAAAAAAATCCTTCAATACTTCTGAAGTTCTTCGGATGCATTGTCAGAAAACACCATCATTCCAGATGCCTTGCATACTTTAGAAAATTGCTACTTTAGCAGCAGAATTTTCACTGAAGCTTGAGCAAATGCTGCCACAAACCAATTCCAAGCAACCACGACTTAGACCAGATGATAAAGATTTCCAAGCAAGCCTACACATTTTCTGTTTTCCCACGATTTTCAAACACCGAGCTAAAATAACATGCAGCAAACTGTAGCCAATCAGCCACTAGCAGTCTACTCCATTAAACAGATTATCAGAAAACTGATGCAATAAAGACTGAGGCTGCTCTGCAACAATGAGAACTTATAAGGACAAATTTCACTGTTTCTTAATACAAGCACTTTACTCTCTTCTAACTACACTGTAATAACAAATCAATGTCATTGTTCAAGGACAAACCTAAGGCAAATATGCTAACAGCCATACAGTATTCCTGTACTTATGCTAATTTTGAAAGATGAAGTTCAAAGTCCACTTAAATTTTGCATTTTCCAATACAAAAAAACTATGGGATTTATTCATTTACAGAGCTGAGAATATATCCCTTAACAGAGCTGAACATTTGAGTGAGTGGAACTTGAGCTCTTTTTTGCTTTGTCTTTAAGAAGACGCCTCCTGCTCCACTCCCCCCACTTCCTACCATACTCAACGTGTTATTTACATCACCTGGCAGAATTCTAGCAATCTAGACAGGACACAGTACCTTTCAAATTTCTTCAACATATTCAATGCTCTTTCAGTGTTCAGAGTATTTTCCAGAGTGACGTCCATGAACTTCCTTAACTGATCCTGAAGAAGAGCAAATAATTCTACTACAGAGAAGTACATAAGGTACACATCTCAAATATGCCAGGTCAGGTATCATTTGGCAAGATGTATCATGCACTATATTAGAACATAATTTGTTTATGTGAAACTAACTTCAGTAAGTATCAGTTTTCCCTTTCCTCCTTCCCTCAAGAATGAAACAAAGTAAAACAAACTTTCAAGGCATTTTCTTTTCAAGTCCCCTCTGTAGCTGTGTAACCAACAAAAGCTTTTTTATCCTCAAATGTTCCATTCTGATAGCCCTCAAAGAATGCTTGCCTCCCTCTTCCACAGCCAAAATAAGCCACGCATTTTTTTTATTTTTTTTTGTTGTTGTTGTACAGATACCCTTTCTTCCCACGAACTTGTGGTTTCAGAACCGTGGCAATTAATTAACCAGTTAATTATCTGACTTGTGTTATGCTCCCATTCTTCCAATAAAGTAATCCATTTTTATGTTATTTTTGCTAGTATAACTTCCAAATAAAGTACACTAATGGAAAATGCTTTTGTTGGAGGTTCTTAAGGCTCTTTCTGGCCTATTCCACTAAACTGGTTGAAAAGTTAGATAATAAATGCAAGCTTTAAAGTGAAGATACGTTAGAAAAAATGTTTCAATTTTAGAATACAGACTTTGAGATCTGCACAATCTGTTTGATGGTAACTCAGAGGGATACTTGTTTTCATGATTATTCATCAGTAAATTAAATTCTTATTTGAATCATAAAACATACATGAAGATCATTTATGCCTTTGCAAAACTCTTCATAGTCGTGGTCGAAATCAGTATTCCGTTGATCCAAGAAATTGTAATGTCCTTTCTTCATGATGTCGACAATGCTCTGAACAGTTTCACAGAAAAGGAAAATTATCACCAAAAAAGCCCTGGTTTATAAAAAAGACTTACACACCAAAACATTTAGCACAATAGTCTGTGCACGTTCACATTTTACTTTTGCCATTAGTTACCAATGTTTGCTGAGCAACATAAGTAAATCACTTAAATGACAGGAAACAAGTTGGTGGAACTGGCATATGAAATTCATGTGTATTTACTTCTGTTTTAAGTCAATTAGAACTGACAGAAAGTACAGACTCTTGCTTTTCATCAAAGAAGTGTTACCCATTAAATACTCTCTCAAGCAGAGGTTCATTATTTCAGTTTAAAAGTTAACAAAGTTGAACATAAAAAAAAAATCATTACTATTTTCCATGTCTTTAAATTAACTGATTCCAGAAAGAAACAGACTACTCAAAAGTCATAGTACCAGCACAACACTAGCCAAGAACTTATTATTCCTGGCTTCTCTTACACAGCTGCTGTCCACTCAAACAAAAGTACATCTTCATCAGCATCTCCCTTGAGCTGTACAGAGAGTTAAAGGATTTCTAATGATGAACCCCTGTTTAACATCTCCTAGTAGTTTACCACAGTACAGCTATGAAGCTCAGCATATTTTCAGCTCAGCAGACTTCCACCATTTTATTATGTCAACTGAACTTCAGGTTTATTGCTTTGCTGTAAACCTAACTATAGCTATGGTGCATGTCAAATGCTTCAGTACCTCCATTTTGTCATTCTTAAATAAGTTCAATCACTTTCTGCCTTTTACGCATGCTATCCAGAACCTTCCATGCAGTATTTTCTACCTTAGTATGTACCCTTTATTGTATCATCTCATCATCATTTATATGTGTCATGTATATATCACCTTTACTTGCCCCCTTGCCCCACAGTACTAGATCTCACGCAAAGCTTTTACTTTAGGACTTGAGTGCTGCAACGGATAATGCAAACTCCATACATTGACTATTTCTGATTTATTTTAATATTTACAAATGTCATAATTACAATGCTGCACTAAGAAAGACATACAATAAGTTAAGGTAACTCGGGCTTGGTAAAAGCAGGGAAGACTCTACTTGCTAAAAAAGAAAGTTAATCTCAGAAGGAAGGAAGGAAAGGAATCTGATTTAGCATATTTATATTCTTAGAAGAGATTCATGTTGTTCAGGTCTCACTCCTACTAAATTAAAGGACCAAGAAAGAAATCTTAATACTAACAAGCAAAGGGATTTTGCTGTTACAGAAGAAAAAGCCTAAACTTGAAAGGACTTCCAGAGCAAACAAGCTAAGTCATTTCTCTTCCTCGCTTGCCCTAAAGATAGCTGTCTGTGAATTAACTCTTTCTGCCCTCATAAAACACAAAGCTGCTGATTGTGCTCTAGATCTAGAGTACAGATATTAAAGGAACCTAATAATCTGTTTTGCTGGAGTTAAGCTCACTATTTCTGTAATGAAACACAGTAAATCTGAGAGTTCAAGGTTTTGAGGGGGGATGAGATGAAGACAGTCTACAATTTTGGACACAGTATACCTTCATAGCTAGCAAAATATTTGAAAAGATAGAAAAGTGACACTTCTCATTTTTTCTTCTGATCATAACACAAAACTGTGGCTCCTGTCACAAAGTCCTCTCATTTTTGTTGCTTTTTTCAATCAACACTGATTTTAACATATCTTTCTCACACATACACGTGCCTCTCTTCGTATTATGGGCTTGCTTCTCCAGCAATCACATATTTACATCACTATAACCCAGTAATTTTAGCAGAACTTAGAGGGGTTTTTTTTCTGGATAAACACTGTTCTAATTCTCATAAATATTTAAAGTTCAAGTTGGACTGACAAGATACACAAAATTTCCTGAGTACCTCATATTTTGTGATCATTCCTTCCAACCCCTCTATCTTAGACTCCTGTAGAACTGAGTAGGTTTTCATAGTATTGAAAACATCCATTATCTTTACCAAACGCCGATGAAAGGTTTCAAATTTTCCAAAGATATACATCTCACTAAAATCAAACTGTCTTTCAGCTGGATTTCGTTTCAATTTCTCTTTTGTCTTGTGAAAGCAATTTTGATACTCCTAAAAACAAAGAAGAATTTAAAAGAAGAATGTCAAGATTATAATAAAAGGCACTGTCATCAGCTAGAACAAAATTTATGCAGATATTATCCTAACTCGACAGCAAATAGAAGTTTAATCAATAAACAATCATGAACACTATGAAGACAGTAACACAATTTGTCTTTGAAAACTAACCCAACAATACCATAACAGGATGACACATTTCATCAAAAGAATGAACTGCACATGTATGTATCTGTACATTCTGTCCTTAACTAGCATAAAATTCTGTTCCCTCCATTTTATAGCAGGGGTTGATGTATATACTGCAAGTGTTTACTGAACATCCAAAAGGACAACCCAGATTTCAGAGTCTGAAAACAACAGTTGTGTGCTGAGCAGTTGTGTTGGATAATAAAGTTTCAAATTCTCCAAAGCCACCATCCAGAATAAAAAGCCTGAGTTAGAATGCTGCTCCATAGCAGCTTCCAGTTTTCATTCTGCTTTCTTAACTGGGCACAAATCTTCTCCAAATGTGTTACAGTTAAATTCTTCCTAAAATCAGATTACATAGTCAATAGATTGGCTTGAAATGGTTTCTTTCAATAATAGTTCTCTTTAAAAGACAAATTTCATTATTTTTTACCACATATATGTACGAATAATCTTACTTGAAGATATTAATATAAAGGGCCCAGACTTTCCTGAATTGTTAAAGATTCAAATTTTAAGTCTTAATCTATTGATTATTTGACTAAGGCTTAAATAAAAACATAATCCTTCAACATACTTTAATGCATCAGCTGAATAATTTGCTACATCTTTATAGAAATATACAAATTTACTACCTGTTGATGGTAAAAGTTCATATAAATTTACACTAATACGTGCTAGAACTATGCAAGATTTGTAGCTTCAAAAGGTGTCAGGACAAAGTTCTAGTCTTCCAAGCATATAATATTAAGGAATCAAAAAGTAATAACAGAGAACCTTCCAATATCCGCAGTGAGGTTATCAAAAAGACAGAGCAAAGCTCTTCACGGTAACATGTGACATGTGGACAGAGACCAAGAGGCAATGGGCATAAACTGAAACAGAAGTACTTTTGACTGGGTGTAAGGAGAAAAATCTTTCACCCTAAGGACAGTCAAGCAGTGGAAAAGGTTGCCCAGAAGGTTGTGCCATCTCCCCATCCTTGGGGAACTTCAAGACAGGACTGGCTAAAGGACTGAGCAACCAAGTTTGATCTCATAGCTGCCCCTGATTTTGCTTTGAGCAGAAGGTTGAACTAGATGCCTGCTGAGGACCTTTCCAAGATGAATGAACTTATGATTCTATGTTCTAAAAGGAAGGAAAAAAAAAAAAAAATCCCAAAATAGTCACAGAAGTATATGCAAAAAAATACCAACAAGCCTATGCAACCTGAACAGATGAATTCTTCTCTGTTCACTAAAATTGCACTTTCTAAAGGTATAGCTTGTCCACATATCTTTGGAATATGTTCAGCTATCACACATTCCTCATCAATGCATGAGAAGAAACTTTTCTAGAAAAGTTCAGGCGTGAAACTTCAAGTACTTCTCATATAAGAAGCATAGTTAAGTTAGGCTAAGCATCGAAATCCTGCTTCTGGAAGATCAACACTGGGCTGAATCCCCTGTTAGTTGTAATATAAATGTTCCAGTTCCAAAGGGTATTTTTCAGTTGTTTCATTTTCCTTGCTTTTAACATTGCTTCCTCATATAAAACAGAAGTCTTTCTCATCATTTTCTCCTAAATTTCACCTGACATTCTATTTTCTACATGCTCCTACCACTTACCTGTTTAAGCTTAATGGCTGCTTGTAGCTTTTCCATAACTCTCTCCTGAGGTTGATTCCAGATAGTGGCCGTATTGTTGTTTGTAATGTAAGATTTACATGCTGTGATCATCTGATTGGTCACCTAAAAACAGTTATAACTTTGTGAAAAAAAACAAACAAACAAACAAAAATTTCAAGACCAAGCAGATTTTGCCTTTTTTTCCAATCACATCGCATACCTCTGCCACAACTGTCCTAAAGCCTGCAAAACAGCAATACCAATTCATAGAATCATAGAGTGGTTTGGGTTGGAAGGGACCTTAAAGATCATTTAGTTCCAACCCCCCTGCCACGAGCAGGGACACCTCCCACTAGACCAGGTTGCACAAGGCCCCGTGCCACATAGACAGACTGTCCTCCTTGCAATATCCAGCCTCCAGACCACTACAACACTCAAATATTGTTGATTAACTGTGCTCATCCTGAACCTAAACAGCTTGTACCTACCTTGAAATTCAAATTGAGGACTACAAAGTCATAAGAGCAAAGATAAAAACAAGGGCCCATGAGACTATGCTGATTAAAGAGTAGGTTGTCCTTCCAACTCCATTTTCTTCTTTATGCAAACATAGGGAGGTTTTAAGGGCTAGATAAATTTAACATAATTGATTCTACAAAAAAAAACAGGTCAGCACAGGCAAAACTAGATGTAACAAGAAGTTCCTCAATCTATTCACACATGACTGAGATTAGTCTTGATCTTCAAGAAGTCTGGAAAATGTTTAGAAACTCCAGATTACATACAATAAAGTAAGTTCTAACTTTGAAGTATTTTTACCACTATTTCCAATTCTCTATACATTCAAAAAGCAGCATTAAATTGACTGAAATGCTGCCCCTTCAATTGCTTGGTCCCTTTCTCTTTTATGTCTCTCACTCAAGCAACACCACAAAAGATATCTCTGCAAATTTCCATTCACACTAAGCACCAACCTTCACAAACAGCAAGGATATCTTTTCAGATGTGTTGTAATACTGAGAGATACTCTGAATCATTTTAATTGCATTTATGAGTCCTGGAATAGCATCCAGCATGGACACCTAGAAAGAAAAACACAGTCTGGACTCTGCTCAGTACTTCTGTTTTCCATACATTAGCTCGACACCTAATTGAATAATGCAAGATTGTTATGAACATGGTCTTCCTAACATTTCTGCCTGTTTCCCTGGGCCTCTCCTGCAGAGCTGTCTGACCAACTTTACCCTTCAAGCTCTACAGTTCAATCTGGGGAAAATTTTTCACTAGAGTCTTGGATGGAAGAATCCTGGTCAACAAATGAAATTTGATAGAGACAAAGGCAATTTTAAAAGTACCACTTATTTTCACAAAGCGTATATTCGTGCATCCTTTTGCTAAGCCCGTTGTAAGCCTGTATGCAAAGAGAGACCAAACATTGCATTAAGCCTCATGGCACTCGCTTGAATAAAGGAGCTATGAAGAGTAACTTTCCTATAGTACAGGCATTTAGATCATAAAAAAAATATATACAATAAATGACATGTCTGGGAGGAAATAATCTTAGATCTCATTCTTTGGGTAAAAATGATAGTTTTACTGTATTGACAAACTGGTTCTCAACATGTTACAGGTAAATATCAGTAAGGGAAAACTTCACTCTCCATGCTGCAATGGCTTCCACCCAAAGTGCTACACCCTCTCAAAACTAAACATCCCCAAAGCTGGCACTGCTTCCTCCTTGCTAAAAGGCACCACAGGGAGCGCAGAGCAGATCAAGTTCAACAGAACCTGCACAGTGCCAATAGCAAGTGTGTTCATTTCAACTCTGCTTTGTATGGTCAGAGCGACTTCAATATTAGATGAGGAAACACTGGAAGAACACAGTGTTCTAACACCATCCAGTAAATGGAAACAAACAGAGCCATACCCCGGTTGCCCAGAGCACTGTTTGGAAGCAATTTCACTTTGGGAAAAGCATGGAGAGGGAGGGAGAGAGAGAGAGAGAGAGAGAGAGAGAGAGAGAGAGAGAGAGAGAGAGAGAGAGGTAGAATGGTCAAAGTTTTGAGTCTTCATGGCTACTCATCATATTTCTCTGACTGCCAAGACATATACAGGCAGTTACAAAACCAGTTTTAATAAAATCAGCCATTTGCTGCCTACTTTAGTAGATAATGGGACAAGAGAGAATCCTTCCTCCTATCCCATGCTTTAGGTTAGTGTCCTGGTTTGGTTTCCTACTTGTTATGCTTGCATCGTCCTGTTACTGTAAGAAGGTGACTTGTATTTACCCCTTAATATTTACATAACCATATTTACATTTTCCTAACCCAAGAAGCTGAAAATAGCCTTATAAGCGTTATGCTAAGTGTGACTTGAGTGCTGACACAAGGACAAAAGCCCAGCCTTTGTCTTTAGCATAGCACTAGCTTCACTTTCACCTCTTTCATCCTTTTTTTTTTTTTCTTTAAACTCACAAAAATTTCTCCTGCTCTCATAGCATAGAAACCAGTTTCATCATCAAATCAAAATCTTCTTGAATACCATGGCAAGAAAATAACAACCACTTCAGTTTATAGCCATAAATTCCCACTTGGCCACTTTCAGCATAACTAAAAAAAAGTCTCAGACTGGAGATACACACCCAAATTGCTACCTGTCTAATTTCCAAACTGATCATACAAAATACATGCATTTTAGATGACTCAAGAGATTTATAGAATTTTTAAAAAGATAAGATTTTAAGAATTTAAAAGTTCTGCTTACAGGATCCCTGTTATATAGTGGGTCACAACATTTTTCCAGAGAATACAGATACTTGACATTATCTTTAGCTTCATTTGCTGCATCTGTTATGCAAATATCCAACACTCGCCAGTTCTAAGAACAGAAAGTTGAAAAGAAAAAAAACCCACACATTTAAGAAAAACTGGTTTTGTCATTCACATTTAAATACATTTGAAAGCACAGATCTATTACATCAGAGTTACGCTGGTTACGCAAGATGAAGAACAAACAGGTCCTTGTGTTGCTTCAATAACTTGACTGTGAGCATACAGTTTATTTAGACCACTCAGCCCAAGAAGTTATGTCAGTAGTAGTATCAAGTTAAGCTGCTGTAAAACATATAGACAACATCTGTTAACTATTTTTTCATAGTGGACTGATGACTATATAGACACGTATTTATTTCACATCTCTCATTTTGATAAGCCAAGACTTTATTTTATTCACTTATATTTCTGTTTGTGATAGGTGATAACTTTGTTATGTCAATGTGAGAAGTTATGAACCCACAAGCACTTACAGACACTGTAGCAACAAGAGAAAGATTTTAAAGAAGGGTGGGATGCATTTTCTTTTCATTAAACACTCCGTTCATTAATTCAATTTTATGTTTTAAAAATCAACTTCTCAAAGATGTATTTATCAATAAGTATTTATTTCTCTTGAGCCACATGAATGCAATACATTATCAGCCTTTAGACAAAGGGGATTCCCAGTCTTTTCCAAGAAATTAAACTAGTTTTAAACTTTATCCACTCAAGATGAATAACAGGGAGGGCCAAATAAAACAAAAGCTAAAGATGCTTCAATATTTTCCCCACCATCAATGTTACATACATCACCAAAATGAACTAGGGTCTTTACATCTGTAATAATTTAAAACAGAAACCTTCAGCAGTTTGGATTTAGCAGCGGTGAGTACTCCAAGCACTGCCTTCACATCTGGGCTCCTCAGCTGCTCCGTAAGGTAGCTGAATTTTGACAATATCTTTTTCCAGTAATCAAGCTCTGCTCGTGGTCCAAGGTCATCAGCTTCCTTCCTCAGCTGGTCATTTTCTGCAAGAACCTTTTATCATGCAGTAATATTAGTGAGCAATGCTAGTATTTTTAATCTGCACAGTAGCATGGATTCATCCTAGGATTAACGTCCCATAATAAACTACCTAACTCAGCCACCACCTCACATAAGAGACCTTAATTTTGCTTGGCCTTTTTAATTCTCAGTTAAAGAGGGAGTAGTATCTCAAGAGAACTGTTAGCCAATTACATTTTCTGCAAATAACCTGCAAAGCATGTTTCACAGTATGATTTTGACCACTGAGAACAGTGTTCACTGAATTATTGTGCTCCTTTTGCTTTCATTAAATCCACTGGGAATCACTGTTTTCTACTTTAAGAATAGCTGATTAACAAAACCAGGGGACTAAGCTTCGAGAGACGTGTATGCTCCATTTACTAGATGGAAAAAGTTCTCAATAATACTCTCTTTGAGAAGTAAAAGCACATAAAACATGCCAGCAGTACAGGGATTGATCAAATCTAACTTCATAGGAAGGCAGCTATGTGCCAACAGGATTAAACTCATCATCTGCTATATGCAGATGTCACATTTCACATTTGTCCAGTCTATCACCTGTTCAATTTGTTTGATCCATCCTTTCATGCAGACTTCTATTCTTTCAAGAGTATCTATGCTGTTAGCAACCATCAGGTAATCTGAAGGTCCTCTTAGAGTTTTCAGATCATACGTTTCACATTTCTTCAGGCTGATCTAAAACACAAGTTAAAGAAAAATACTAAAATGTTGGAATGTTTATGAGAAATAATACAGGAAGTTTAAAACATAACTGGTTGTCCCACCTGGAGTACCTCACTTCATATTCCCACTTTAAATTAAACAGGTTTGAGCCAGAACTGGGCTCCACAATCTGGAGAATGCACCAGCTTGGCAGCTTTGCTCTCACCCTCTTTCCTTCATGAAGGCCAAGTAGAAATTAACAGTAAATTAGCAGTAAAAGCAACTGTTTGTCAAACATAAATCATTGGTGGTTTAAGAGTGGCCACAGCCCTTGGAGATTCAATAAGTTAATAGCTCTAAAGACCTGGCACCAGAACAATCAAGAACAGAAGCACCTGCAGAATTGTTAAAGCCACAGATTGATGTATGACAAGTTACTGCTGGCAACAAACAAAAGTGTTTGTTTAATAAACATCCAATTTAATAAACGTCCAATTTAATAAACATGATTTCTATGAGTATTCCACAACAGCAGTTAATCCAAAAGCTCCAGAGAAAGAGACATTCTACAGCTAGCTCAATTTCTATTTGCCATATGAACATGCTACCTTTTCCAACAGACTTTGCTGAGTTCCTGATAGCACACTAACAAATGCTTTGAGGGAACAAAGGATGTCCTGCTTAACACTGGAAGCCTGTTGAGTTTCACCAAGCTCAACCCAGTCATGGTCCATAGTCTGCAAGGCTGGAATGAAGACTTCTGATATCAACTCCTCAACACTTTTTAGTAAGCCATCTTGACCTACATTCATCATATTAAAATTCACTTCCTGTAAAAGAAACACAATGCAAGTGAAAATAGAAAATAAAATTTTGCCATTGTATTTATTCCAGTCCTATTGCCTTGATCTCAAATTACCAGTGTATGCAAGTGCTCTTCAAGCAGTTACAGCACAATTCTTTCTAGCAGAGGCTGCAAGATTTGCACAGGGTCACAGATTGTCATATAAAACTGAGGAAACAAAGATCTGAAAACACTTCCAAAACATTATGAGAGTGTAAGAAACCTCTATTTAGAAAGCTCAGTTTATATGGCTGAGTAAAATGACTCCAGCCTGCCACTTCTAAAGCTCTATTTTTTAATATATTCATACATGCAGAGCTATATACACAGGCAGAGTTAAATGTGCTTACTAGGCTTAGATATTAAAAGAATTACCAACTACAGTTAATTCTGACTTGCTGTTGCCCAGAGATTTTGAACCCAGTTTGAGAGAGAACAGTTCACAGAACATCTGCTTTTTAGTCACTCTGACAAAGACTCTGAAAAATTCTAAGGTAAATTACATAAATCTGCCAGCCATTTTTTGCTTCTTTAGAAGGTACTACAAAAATTTTTTTCAGGAACATAACACTGAACAACTTGTACTTAAAGTTTCACACATTAGATGTATCTTCAGACATATCATTTTTACTTTTCAGCTTGTCTCTCCTATTTTTAAGGTATTATCTACTATCAGCAAGAGCTATATCATTACTGGTGAAGAAGTCTGCTTTACACATCTTTCAGCATCAGTTACCAGCTTGCAAGCATTCTTAATAAGCAAAAAAATCTTCAGATGATAAATACTATATAGTTTACTAGAATCTAAGCCAGATCTTTCAAAGTCATTAAAAAAAAATTAACAGGTTAAACATAAAACTTTAAAATATATATCCATAGAAATCAAAAAATAATCTAGTGATGACAGCCACCTCACCCCACTTTGCTCTTCTTGTTTATCTGGGCAAAGAACAGTTTTAAAGGTTTTCCTGGAAAAGATGTGGGAAGTTAAAACTTGCTGGCTTAGGAGCTGTACTTCAAAGTTCTCATTTTAAAGTGTATAGAAAGTTTTTCACAACGCTGAATTCTCATTTAGCCCATCATTCTTATTTTAGCACTCTGATTATTTTGTCCACAACTGCAAGATTCACTAAATTTTACTGTGCTCCTCGCTACTGGAGCACTTGATCCAGCTTTGTTCACTTCAGACTGTTATAGATTTAAGGTATCTTTCAAAAGTAAATACTTGTTTATATGTGATTTGCATATATGGTCTCAAACACAAAACCATTTTTGTTTTTTTAAATGGATTTTCTAGCACTTATTGAAATTTAACGACTTATTGTTTAGGTATCGACTAATCAGTTTTTGTCATTCTGGATTGTCTCATACTTTCTTCCTTAGCATCATTTCTTCATCACAATGATACACTTCAGGTTGCTGCAGCTAGACTTGTCAGGTTTTCCATTCCCCTCCTTTTCGGTCCCATGTTTTATTCAGCCAAACTGTGCCCTTTTGTTCATCCCTCCATGGCAAAGGCTGTCAAATTATGTGCTGAGACCAAATACCCTAAGGTGAAAATGAATTTTTGACAAAACCATGAACAGTGATCGGCCGTCACAGACTCTTACCTGATAGATATTCTCAGTTGTGATGGGTTTAAAAAGACTACATCTAATGAAGAAAATGCATACACCAGTTAATGCAATTTCTTTTCCCTCTGTCACGAATACTTTAGTTTTTGTCTTCTTTGTCAAATGAGAGTTCATTCCT